GGGGGCGCTGCGGCCGCGCTGAGCCAATGGCGGGGGGGAGGCCCCGCCAGCGCCCCCCGCGGCCGGGCGGGGAATGGCGGGCACGGGGGGGAACCATGGCCGGGGGGTCATCGGGGACAGGGGGGGTCATCGGGGACCAGGGGTATCATCAATGACCGGGGGGATCATCCATGACCAGGGGGGTCATCAATGACCAAGGGGATCATCAATCCCCCTCAGCACAGACTCACCCCCCCTGGGCTGGACCCCCCACTCACCCCCGGGGAGCCCCCCCCGAGCACAGCCCAGGGCAGGGAGAGGGTGATGAGGCACTGGAAGGTTTGGATTCCCCTCATCCCTGCAGGTGTCCAAGGAAGGACTGGGATGTGGCACTCACCGCTCTGGGCTGGGGGTCAGTCACAGTTTGGATTTGATGATCCAGACAGCACGGACAGGATGGGGATGGAATAGGGATGGAAAAGACCTCTGAGAGCAAGTCCAGCCTTTGCCCCAACACCACCACGGCCACTCCATGGGGGCACGGCCCCAAGTGCCACATCCACACCCTTCTGGACACCTCCAGGGACGGGCACTCCACCAGGGCCTGACCCTCCCCACACACCAGAGTCTCTCCCCAGACTGTCTGCAGCTCCAGGACCACTGCCAGGACGAAGAACTATCAGGGGCACACTTTAATTTGAGCTCATTAAGCCCCGCAGAGCATCAGCTCTGTTGCATTCCCTGGGAATTCCCAAAATAGCAGCCAAGATCCTCTCTTGGCTTTTTGCAACATTGTCACCCCTTCCTTCCTAACTCCTGACCCACAAAACACTTTGTTACCAACTCAGGTGTCGGGGGTTTTTGCTCCGGAATTTCACAGCAGAGATGGGCACCGGAGCGGATGGAAGGGAAACATCATCCCGTTAATCATCTGCAGCATTAAAACACAATTCCTTCATGTCCACAACCCCCCCTCTGTAGCACAGGAGCTTCCCCAGTAGGGTTTTATGATTTGGGATTCGCAGATCCCACCATAAAAGCGCCTGAGAAATTCTAATCCATGCCAAAAAAAAAAAAGAAAAAACCACAAAAACCTCTGACACTTCTGCAGGAAAACAAAAAGTTTGTTTTCCAAACTCCAAATAACAACAACAGCAATAAACTAAGGAAGTCATCGCAGGGAGTTCTTTCCATTAAAATACAAAAACTCTTCCTCAGTTTCGCTCCCTCGCCCCCCAAGTTCTTCCCCTCACAACAAAGTGGAAGGACATTTTCAGTGAAATCCAAACACCTGAAAGTGCTCAGTGTTAACACTGACCTTAAAATAAATTTATTTTAAAGAGGGCAGATGGTGCCACTGCTGCTTGATTTCCCAGATTTGTTTTCATCACCTTTGTGCTTTTTCCATCTCCTCCATCTGCATTTGTGAAAAGCTTCAGTGGTTGAAGCCTTTGCTTAATGGGACATAAACGCAAATTCCTGCACAAGCAACTGGGGCTGCAAACCTGCTCTGGAGGCAAAGAATCAAAGGAAAACAGTCAACATTTAATTTGAAAAAAAGTTATTTATTTTGAGAACTTCAACTTGCACATTGTACAAAAATTTGACAAATTCAACAACAACAAAAAAATCTATAAAATGCTGCGGGGTGGGTTTTTTTTTCCCCCTAACATATTAACATAATAGTTTTCCAAAGGGTAAGAGTTAAGAAAAACAAAAATAGGCACATTTGTTCCAGTCTGTCTGCAGAAAATTGTGAATAAAAACATCCCTGTCTTGTTGAGGTATCAAACTGCAAACTTTGGTAATGGTAGAAAAATACAAAGTGAGCCTTCTCGGTGGCAGGTCCAATACAAAATGGTTCATACAAAAGCCAGAATTGGTTATTTTACATTTCCAGGTAGAAATGCAGTGAAATAAAGGAGAAAAAAAAAAACCAAACAAACCAAACTTTAATTCACCTATCACTAGGAAACCTGATCCTCTGCAAATCCACGCTAATCACACATAGCTACAGTGGTTTTTTTTTTTTTTCCCAGGTTACCAAAGATCTGGCTGGCAAGTTAAAACGATTCAGTGCTTATAAAAAAAAAAAAAAAATGAAGATCTATATGGTGATTCAGAGCCCAGTCTTCCAGCAAAGGACAAAAGGCACTTAAGAATGGCTTTAGGACATTCCACAATGGCATTTTCGGGACAGAGGACAGCGCCTGGCTGAACAAATCCTTCCCTACGACAAGTCCAGTGAGGTAGTACTTCGTATTGCTCCAACTACTTGGCTCTAAAGCAAGCAGCTTTATGGTTTTGATATATAAAATTAGCAGGAAATGGCTTTTTGTCAACAGTATAAAACCCCAGTTCTTACAAAAAAAAAAAAAATAGCAAATACCCACTCGTGGTACAAAGCCAGGAACCATCTTGTAAAAACTGAGTATCAAAATGCTGCCAAGGTGATGCACAAGTCTACCTTGATGGCCAAATCCCCAGACAGTGAAGATTGTTCTAGCAACCAAGCCATTATTGGAATAGAAAAAAAAAAAATAAAAATAAAAATAAAGGGGGGCCATGGGGGGGAAGGGGCAACTCTTGAGAACTTTCCTCATCGTTAGCAGCCTCACCGGAAGCACTTTCAGTCCATTAAGAACAAATAATTCTGTGCTGATGAATGGCAGGTTCGAGGGGAGCAAAAACAACAACAACAACAAAAAGAAAAGAGCACACTTCAACATTTAGAACGAGAACAAAACCCACGAACGCATAAAAGGACAGTCCTTGGAGTTTATAGTTGTTTTAAAAACAAGGAAGACTTCAAACCTTTTTTTTGTTTTTTTGTTTTTTAAGGGAGGGGGCGGTCTGGGAGAACACGGACTACTGCTTTGTTGTGATTTTTTTGTTTCGTTTTGTTTTGTTTTTCTTTTTAAATTAAGCCCATGGCAAGTGTGAACCCACGGGATCGAGAAGTGCTTTTGACAGAATCACCGGCCGTTGCCGTAGCCGGGGAAGAGCTGGGTGAGGATGTCCTGCAGGGGCTCGTTCACCTCCATCCTGTAGCTCTTGCCCAGGTCGTAGCGACAGGCAGGGCAGCTGTAAACGTCAGCACGGAAGGATCTGTCCAGACAGTCCTGAGGGACACAAGAATTCCTGGTTAAGGGGTGTGTTGGCTCCAGGTTTTCCGCCGGGAAAGGCCGAGGCGGAGGGAAAACTTCAGCGCCTCAACTGACACATCTGCACGTTCCAACCACCTCATCAGAGCTCCCAGGGAGCAGGGAAGCCAACACTGAGTTGGATTCCACGTCACCTTTCTCAATCGAACCCGTTAAGAGCGAAAATGGTCAAAAAAGGGGTTGCTGGGAGGGATAAAGAAGCAAATAAAGGGAAGGGATCTGTCCTGAGAACACAGGGCAACAACACAGCAGCTTCTGAAAACTGCTGAGGCCAATTGGGAACTGCCTGGGTTGAGATGAACAGATAAAGGATGGGACAGAATGGTTTGGGATTCAGAAGGGACCTTTAAGATCATCCAGTGCCACCCCCTGCCCTGGGCAGGGACACCTTCCACTATCCCAGGTTGCTCCAACCTGGCCTTGGACACTTCCAGGGATCCAGGGGCAGCCACAGCTTCTCTGCCCAACCTGTGCCAGGGCCTGCCCACCCTCCCAGGGATGAATCCCTTCCCCATATCCCATCCAACCCTGCCCTCTGGCAGTGGGAAGCCATTCCCTGCGTCCCGTGTCCAAAGTCCCTCTAAACCTTCCTAACACTAAAGCACTAATTCCTGGCCAAAAAAACCCCAAACCAACCAAGCTGTCCCAGCCACCCCAAGCCTGTGCCCACTCGTGAGGCAGCTCCAGGTTGAGTGAGCTCAGCAGGGCCCCTCACCTTGCACACGTTGTGCTGGCAGACGGTTGTGACGGGCCGGAACACGACCTCCTGACAGCAGATGCACAGGAAGGCCTCCTCCACCTTATTCAGGAATTTCTGGAAAGACAACACTGCAATCAACTTATTGCCACCACGCTCTGAAAGATATATTAAAAAAAAATAACCCCAACCCAGAATCCCACCCCACACTAAATGCAAGGGATTTACTTCAGCCACGGGAAGGTTTTCTACAAATCTTAACGTGTAAAAACAGTCACATTAAACGTGCTGGGGGTGTCTGCACTAAAATAAAACCACTGTAGGTCTAGGGCTGTTTCTTTGATGCAGCCAAGGTTTGTATCTAGGGACACAGCACAGCTACAGTTGTTCCTTTATTTGTGGGGAGAAAGTCCCTTTATTTCTGGGGATCAAAAGCAGGATGTACCGGTCCATCTTTGAGAGCCTCTAGTACTTCATTCCACAGTTTTTCATTGGCTTCATCACTTTTTATAAGGGATTTCTGCTGGGCTGTCAGCTTGTATGGTTCAACTTTAGTTTTCTTCGGAGTCCCTGCTGGGGAGGGGATGAGTTTTTCCTCCCCACCTGAAAGAAAAACACAGTGATTTTTTTTTTTTTAACCAAATGAAAAAAAACCATCAGAAAAAAAATTAAGTAGAATGCACAAAAACCTACAAGGCTTTCTATATCCACTTGCCTACTCCACAAACCTGCTGATTTCCTTTTCCTCTTTCCTCTCCCCGGGGTATCGAACTCATCATCTTCGCTATTTTCTTTTTCCTTGTCTTTATTTGCAACAGCTTCCAAATATCCTTCAGGATACTACAAGGAGACAAAACAAAGAGCATCCAATGCAGACACACCAGTTCAGACTTGACAGGCCAATACAGGTCCAAGGCTGACCTCTGGAGAACTGCTCCAGGGGCAGTTTTAATCTACTTTAAGCAACAGATCCCTGCTCTTGTTGAAGCAGTTATGCAGAGTATGGAAATCTTGTACAAAAAAAAAAAAAAAAGTGAGTTTTGCCCTTTCAGCCTCCTGATGTATAAAGAAATAAAAAACCCCCAAGAATGGAAGCATTTGTGCCCCTCCTCAGTCTGAACCGTTACATAAGAGCACGGAACAGAAAAATTCCTCCTATCCATCGAGTTCAGTGGCCAGGAGATGTCCCAAGGGAGTACCTGCATTGTTAGGCCCAGCTTTTTCATCCTGTCCTTCCCCTCCCTGGTCCAAGGAGCAGGTTCCTCGTCGTC